AAATAACATTTTAATACATATATTTATTTTTTTGATATGGAAAAAATAGTAGATTTACTTATTTTATTAACAATATAATACTCAGTAAATATTTTAATAAAAAATTAGTTGTCATTATAATTATTTATAAAATTTACATAAATAGTCATTTTATATGTGATTATAAATATTTAATGTAGGTTACTCTTTCAAAATTATAAAATACTCTAAATTTAAATTATAAGTATAATTAAAAAACCTAATAAACTTTAAATTATACCTATGTAAAACTTTATTTTTTTTTTAATTTTTTGTTTTTATGCATGAAATATACTTGAGTTATATAATATAGATAGTCTCGTTCGGCTCGCCTCGAGTTCGGTGTGGCTCATTTGATAAACGAGTTGAACTCGAGTTCGTTTAACCTCAGCTCGACTCGATACGACTCGTTAATACTCGAAAATATAATTTTATGTAGTTCAACTCGCTATTAGAGATAAATGAGCCGAACCCGATATCGGCTTGGCTTGTTAAGGGTTCGACTCGAGAACCCTAAGCTCGAGCTCGGATTGGCTTGTTTACATGCCTAACTCGGCTCGAACTATATTGATTACAATTTATAAAAAAAATTATATAATTATAAATATTATATCATTTTTACATAACTATTATTTAATTTATTTGATAATTATTTCAGTATAAAACTTAAATTTTGTTTTAACATTCTGGGCGTGACTAACATCGCAATCCCTTGGACCGCCTAGTGGCCACCTAATTGCTTGAGGCCTAAAAGGGCTGTCTGTACAAAAATTGGGGCGCCCGAATGCTGCCTAACCCGACTTTTAGTATAGTTGTGTTAAATACATGATTGTAAAACATTGACTAATGTGATTTAACATTTATAAAAAATACATAAATAAAAATAAAATGTTAAATATTATAGGTAAACTTGTATAAATGGTTATCAAATTACTATCGCGAACAAAAGCTTGTTCGAGTTCGATAACAGCTCATTCTTTAAGTAATCGATCTGTGCTCGAACACACTTATGCTCGTCTGGTTATCAACGAACACTAGCGAACTTAACGAGCGTTCTCGATCAAGGTGGTATTTGATAATTATTTACATTATATATAAAACATGTATAATAATATATATTTGATAATTATTTATATTATATATAATACAAAATATTATATATTGATATAATATTCATATATGATATAATATTCAATAATAGTACTTAATATATGGTATTGAAAAAAAAAGTATTCTGCTCCAAACAAAGTATCCAATCTCCAAAATCCCACTTCCCAATTCTCCGCCGCTCGTCGGCTCTTCAGCATCTCCCCCGCTCGTCAGTCCTCGGCATCTCCGCCTCTCTGCCTCCTCGGCCTCTCCGCCTCTTTAAGTCATCGACCTCTCCACCGCTCCTCAGTCTCCCTGATCCATCCCCGAATCCTTTCCCCTTCGTTTTTTATCGCAAGACGTATTTCACTTTGTAAGTTTCTTCAGACCCGTGTATATCAATTTTGTACCTGCGTATCTATACCATCTTGAGTTATTGATTGTGGCTATATGTGTATTATGTATATGGACCTGTGTATATCTATACATGTTTTATATCTATTTTCCACTTTATCTTTTTTCCCCCATTGAGAGCATTTATGGCCTGCTGGTGTGTGATATTCTGCTATGGGATGTTGCTAAAGCTAGATTATTGGTTTGTTCAGATGGGATTTGTATGGAATCTTTTTTGTGGCAAACACTAGGGAGGTTAGAAGATATCTATTTCTAATTGTTCTGTTATCATTATTCTTGGGGGATATGCATAATTCTTTTGTTGTAAAGAACTCTCAAGTTTCACCATCTGTTTTTTGTGTGTTATTTAATGATCCATCGAATTTTACTTAATGTTCAGCTTCTTATCTTAGATGCCTTGAGATGTTTTCCTATCATTAATACTCTCCGCAGCCTCCACGGAATCACAATTTGTTGGCAGTTTTGATAAAATGGATTTTGTAACAGGAAAGTAATAATAGGTTAAAATGGTTTCCAGGATTGAATATGAAAATGTTGATGATGCAGGGATTCGCCTGTTCAACTTACGTACATGTTCCAAAAAAAAAAAAAAAACTTTCATACCTGTGCTTTGCCCATCATTTGCAACGGGGCCGTTATCAATAATTTGTGTACCTGTTATTTCAGGCAACGGGGCCCATCATCTCTGTGCGCATCATTTAAAACTTAACAAAGATCAAATGCACGTTAATTTAGTCGTATCATTAATTTAATCGAACATACAATTTCTGTTTGTTCTTCATAATTGTCTTATCATGAATTGTTTGTTCCTCATAATTGTCATATTAATTTAGTCTTATCATTAATTCTTTGTTCTTCATAATTGTTAGATTAAACATAATTGTTTGTCAGGTTATGGTATCATTTTTCTTTAATTCTGTCTGTATCACCAATTCTGTTGATGCAATTATAAATAGACATAATTGTATCTCAGATTATATATCAGTTTTCTTTAATTATGTCTGTTAAATCTGTCGATACACTATAAATGGACACAAATGTTTGTCAGATTATGGTATCAATTTTCTTGAATTTTGTCTATCACTTGGTATCAATTTTGTTGACGCAACTATAAATGGGCATTTGATCTTTTTTACGTTTTAAATGATAGGAACTCAGAATGGACAAGAGTTGGATGCGTGCTATCAAGTGGTCGAACGCTTACATAGATGGGGTAAACACTTTTATGGAATTTGTGGAAGCTCATTTGGGGAGGGATTGTGAAATTCGGTGTCCATGTACAAACTGTTTGAACTTATCTACAAAAGATCAAATGACCGTTAAAAGTCACATTTTGCTGAGTGGGATAGATCCAGGGTACATTACGTGGTTTTATCATGGTGAATCAAGCTCAAGTCAGCGAGTTCCAGTTAATGTGGATGATAAACTTCATTGCGGGTCATTGGACCAAAATGATGAAGAATATGAAGATGATGGTGTTGATGTCATGTTGTCTGACCTGGGGGAGCAGTATTATCCAGATACACATGACAATAATAACAGAAATACAGATGGTGTTCCTCAATATCTGGAAGCATTGATGGCAGATGCTAAAACTGAGTTATACCCTGGATGTAAGAAAATCTCCAAGACATCTTTTATTATCCAATTGCTGCACTTGAAAGTTTATAATAAGTTGAGTAATAAAGCTATAGATATGCTATTAAGGTTGATAAAATTATCACTACCTGATGGAGAGACACTTCCAAGTTCTTGTTACGAAGCTAAAAAGTTTTTGAAAGATCTGGGATTAGGATATGAATGCATCCATGCCTGTAAAAATGATTGTGCCTTATTTTGGAATGAGAATAAAAATCTGGAGAGTTGTCCTATTTGTGGTGCCTCTAGGTGGAAAGTCAACGATGGTGTAGGAAAGAAGATACCACAAAAGATTTTAAGGTATTTTCCCCTAAAACCTAGACTCCAACGCCTTTTTATGTCTATGAAAACATCTAAAAAAATGGTGTGGCATAAAGAAAAAAGAATTGATGATGAATATATGAGGCATCCAGCAGACTCCCTTGCATGGAAAGACTTCGATAATGAGTTTTCTTGGTTTGCAAAAGATCCTAGGAATGTTAGACTTGCTCTTGCTGCAGATGGGTTTAATCCATTTGGAAACTTAAGTACTACATACAGCATGTGGCCAGTAATTCTAGCTCCATTGAATCTCCCCCCTTGGGATTGCATGAAACATCCGTTTTTCATGTTATCTTTGCTAATCCCTGGAAAAAAGTCACCTGGAAAAGACATTGATGTCTACCTACAACCATTAATTCAAGAGTTGAAAGAATTATGGGTCCATGGTGCACAAACCTTTGACGTTCTTCGAAAAAAAACTTTCAATTTACATGCTGCTATATTGTGGACAATCAATGACTTCCCAGCTTACGGGGATCTATCAGGGTGGAGCACGAAAGGTTACATGGCCTGTCCTACTTGCAACAAGCAAACACACTCTTTGAGGTTGCGTAATAAGATATGTTATATGGGACATCGATGCTACTTACCTAAAGATCATCCTTGGAGGAGAAGTAGAAAGTTCGATGGAAAAAGAGAGGATAGGGAAGCACCTAAATGTTTAACTGGGGAAGATGTGTTAGCGCAGTTACAGGGACTACAAAATATAACACCAGGGAAGCATAAAAATAAAAAAAGAAAGCGGCAACCTGAGGAATTAAATTGGAGTAAACGCAGCATTTTGTTTAGTTTACCTTATTGGAGTAAGTTGAAATTAAGGCACAATTTAGATGTAATGCATATTGAGAAAAATATATGTGAGAGCATATTAGGAACTTTGATGAGTATAGAAGGAAAAACAAAAGATACAGTTAAGGCAAGGCAAGATTTGGAGGACATGAATATCCGCCAAGAGTTGCACTTGATCAAGAAGGGTAATGGAAAGCATGTGATGCCTGCTGCTTGCTATGTCATGAATAAGAAAGAAAGACGTGAATTTTGCGACTTTCTAAAGTCAGTTAAGTTTCCTGATGGGTATGCTTCCAATATATCTCGTTGTGTCAGTGCAAGCGATCAAAAGATATCCGGATTAAAAAGTCATGATTGCCATATTCTTTTGCAACGAATACTTCCAGTTGGGATTCGTGGTTCGTTGAATAAAGATGTTTGTGAGGTATTGGCTGAGTTAGGTCATTGTTTTCAGCGTATATGCAGTAGAAAGTTGAAAAAAAATGATTTGGAGAAAATGGAAAGAGATGTTTGCTTGATATTGTGTAAAATGGAAAAGATATTCCCTCCTGCATTCTTTGACATCATGGTTCATTTGTCTATCCATTTACCGCGCGAGGCATTGATAGGTGGTCCAGTTCAATTTAGATGGATGTATCCGATTGAAAGGTAAATCTACTAAACTTTCAAATTCTTATATATTACCTGTTTGTTTGTGGTTATATTGTTAATAATTTTGATTTATTTTGTAGGTTCTTATGCGACTTGAAGCAGGGTGTAACAAATAAAGCTCATCCAGAAGGATCAATTGCAGAAGCCTACATTGCAAAAGAGTCTTTAACTTTTTGCTCCATGTATTTGAAGGGAATTGAGACTAGATTTAATCGAGATGACAGAAATTGTGATATAACTACTGATGATAGTCTTTCAATCTTCTCTGAAAAATGTCGCCACTTTGGAGCGACAAAACTTGTTGAATTATCAGAAGAAGAATATAACACGCTGCAGTGGTTCGTCTTTCAGAATTGTGAAGAGGTTCAACCTTTTTTGGAGTAAGTGTAAAATTGTAGCTTAAAAATTCAAATATTATTATTACAAAATTGATTTAAAAATAATGTATGTTCATTGCAGGAAGCACAAGCAGGATCTAACATTGGTTGGATGTGAAAACATAAATCAAGAACATAAAGAGCAATTTCCTGCATGGTTCAAACACCATGTAAGGGCATTATCATTTCAAATACAGAGGAGATGGATCATAATACTTGTTATTAGGCTTTTCTTTTGTTCGAACTTTTTACTGATAGTTTTTATTTTAAATTTTCAGATGAGTCATTTATATCAGGAGGAACCTACGAAAGCAAATGAATCTTTGTATTCACTTTCATGTGCACCATACAGATGTGTTAGAAAGTATCCTGGCTGCATTATCAATGGGGTAAGATTTATGACAAAAGATCGTGATAGTCGTCGTAAAACCCAAAATAGTGGCATCGTTGTTGAGGGTAACCATGGCGGAGATCTAATTGATTTTTATGGTGTTATATCTGATATAATTCTGCTTGACTATGTGAAAGATAGACATGTCACCATATTCAAGTGCGAATGGTTTGATCTTGGGAATAGAAGACAAACAGGCTTACGAAAAGAGGGAAATATGGTGAGTGTTAGGATTACCAAGAATTGGTACGAGAACGACCCTTATATACTTGCTAATCAAGCTAGGCAGGTTTTCTATATTAATGACCCTAAGTTAGGGCATGATTGGCGGGTAGTGCAACCTTTCCAACATAGGCATGTTTATGATGTCGATGAGATGGAGGATGATGAAATAACTGGTAATGACTTTTTCTCTGTGGAAGAAGGGGTGTACCAAGAGAATGAGATAAATGATGCATTTGAAGTTAGTCTTGATGAAGTACAATCACTAAGTAGGACTGATATGAATTTTGAAGATATTGACGAGCCGATAATTGTAAGACTACCCGAAGTTGCAGAGGTCGAAAACATAGATGACCTTAATGAGGAAGACGAGCTAGACGACACTATGGTTAACTATTGGAGTAGTGAAGAAGATTCTGAAAAAAGCAGCACTTCTGATAATGAGGGCGACGATGATGATTGGGAAGGTTGATAATTGACTGGTAACATGATCATTTATAATATTATTCTATAACTTTGTGAATGCTGCGTTTCATTGGCAATAATTAAAAAGATATTTTTTGTTTTTGTTTATGTTTATTGTTAGGGAGCGAATGTTAATCAATAACTTCTAACTGCCATCTATTTCTACGCTTATCAACAGGTAAGCATTGAAATATAAATTACTTTCATATATTTAAAGTGAACATTCAAGTGGATTTTGTTTCAAAGTCGTGCTCAATATGTAAGGTTGATGCCTTTTAGAATAACCTTTTATCCATCTACATCTCAAGTACTTTTTTGCTTTATTAGTTTTTATAATTTTGTTTCTTCATCATTATGTCCAATTTTCGTCTTTGTGTTTCTGGCATATGCAGGGAAATACATGGAGCATTAGATTACATCCTAGTTGATCCCTAGCAGTAGTGGACATGGCTACTAGAAAAGGTCAGTGTTCAGTGTAATAGAACATTACATCAACTTTTGAATGAATTGAATTTTCTGAGTTGTGGATGTGGTTAAATTGGTTGAATTTTCTGTGAGCTGTCAGGTGGCTTGGAACTCTTGAAGCTGATCAGGTGAATTTGGTCTGAAGGGGAGGAATTAAATGTAGTGGATATCATCTTCATCCTTGTGGTTTTGTCTCCAACAACCAGTGTTTGTTTTGACTTAAGCTTTTTTGCTGGT